TTATAATACAGTGTAGTAGCGAGAATCAAACCTGGACTTTGTCTCTTCTAGTCCACAGACAACGCGGAGATTTGATTGGTCGAATTGTATATGAATATGTAATTAGTTGCTCAGATGACTTAGATGATCATTTAAGACGGCTTCGACCCATTGATCTAAATTTAGTTYAGCCGGGTATTAGCCATTTAGATCGTGTGAATAGGGTGTCAGATCCATGGTATTAGTTTGTAATATCATGATCTCCGAGGAAATAAACGAAGTTTKTAGACAGAACTGTAAACCTTGAATGCTATTAGCAAAAAGGTGAAAGTCAATGGTGCATTACGTCTCGGGGGAAAATTTCATTATTAGAGATATAGCACCAAAATAAAGGTTTGATTGAAATACAGAGCGCAACTGAATATATTAAAGTGCTTTCAAGTTACGAAAGAGTACATTGATTACTGAGTAAAGTTAGTTGTACTTTCATGAGCAATGGCGGAAAGTAGATACTTTTGTAACTGGCGCTGAAGTCGAATATACAAGGAATACTACTGTTCGTATTGGAAAAAATTCAAGTTAGAAAGTCGTGCGATCAGCATAGTTTGGGTTTCCTATGCATCCCATGAGTCTTGGCGTGTAGAAGAAAACCTCATGGCCGCCCCTAAAATTTGTTCTTAATATCTTTTATCGTTTTTTTCATCAGAAAACTCCAGGATTAAGTAAATTTATGATGTAATTTCAAGAAACTTTCCTCGATGATGATTTGAATTTTTTTTTTCCTAGGTTTTACTAAACATTGTAAGATTCTTTTAATAAAGTTTTATGCGTTGAAGTGACTGGCGTCAGAAAGGCTCTAAACGAGTACACTGTTCCTGGTAACACTACTAAGAGGCATACTACTTGGTGTAGCAATGCTTACAAACAGTGGGTAGAAGTTKGACAGAAATTAAAGAATTCAAAGACTTTATGCCAGAAAATCAAGAATTTCCCTCAATTCCAGCACTAACAAAAATAGCCATCGATGAAATGAACTACTGGTTGTCGAAATTCGCACTGGAGGTTAGAAAGAAAGATGGCAGTGAATATCGTCATGAGGTACTTTATAGCCTGTTCTGTGGCCTTAATCGTTTAATAGGTGAACGACATCCAGGAGTTTCACTTTTCCACTCACCTGAACTCAAACCACTACAAAAGACTCTAGACGGACGCTCAGTGAATGAATTCCATGCTAAACAGCAGCCCATCAAGAAACAGGCTGATGCAGTGTCCCCATTAGACGAAGAAGAGATGTGGAAACAGGGAGTGTTGGGCACCCACAACCCAGAAGCCCTTATAAATGATATTTCTTACTGGGAAGTTATTTGTGCTCAGAGGGGGGGAAGAGCAAAGAGAACTGTCGCATGAACAGTTCGTACTTGAAGAAAATCCAGAAGAAACTTTGATGCATGTAATATTCAAAGAAAAAGTGTCAAAGACTTATCAAGGTGGTCTCAAAAGACGAAAAGTCCAAAGAAAGGAAGTTCGTCACATAGAGGATCCCACAAAKGAGAGGTCCTTTACTTTCATCTACAGCTTATACATCAGCAAATGTGCTGTGTCGACTGTAAACTCGAAGAAACAACTCTAGAACTCTGAATCCACTTATTTTTTTTGCTAACAATATGGCGTACAGCTACACGAGGTTCAGTCTCTAACATACTACTGCGCATGCGCTCAGATTAAATGATGATTAATATTCATAAGACATAACAAAATGGTGTGTTTTTTGATGATTAATAGTTACATAAAGCCATACTGAAGGGCAAAAGATTTATTGACAATTTCTGTTTAATTACAGCCCACCGACTGTTCCGGTGCCTGCTTTCTATATGCGACCAAGAAAGAATTGGAATTGCTGTAACGAAATATGGTTCGAAGAATGTCCCTTGAGCCATAATACCATCAACCAAAGATTCAAGAAAAATGTGTAATGATGCCGGGCTCAAGGGGAATTTTTCAAACCATTCTGACCGTGCCACTGGAATATCAAGAATGTATCAGGCTGATTTACCAGAGAAGCTCATTATGCAGCGCAGCGGTCATCGTTCAATCGAAGGCGATAGGACATMTCGAAGAGATGACCCCAATGATAGTATGAGAGTTTCGCGTGCACTGAGCAGAGAAAAATGTAGTGCAAGATCAGGATAATTTAGATATCGATGACGAGGATGATTTGATGCTAGTTAAAGCTTGTGAGGATTATGAAAAGAGCACTACTAGTATTAGTTTGGGAAGCATCAATATGCATGGTGCTACCTTGAACAATGTGCAAATTCACATTAACATCAACAAGTAATGTAAAATGATGTATGAATTAAATTAAACTAATTAAATGAAATGAAACGAAATGATGCGAGTAGAAGTAAATAAATTCCTACATCATGTAGGACATGGGGTTAATGAAATAAATTAGACACTTCATTGCGCATGCTTTGTAAATGATTCTTTTGCGTCCCACATGTGTAGATGTGTGGAGGTGAGTCTTGAAGAAATCAAAAACTATTGTTTCCATTGGGTGCTCAGGATTGATTGATTGATTGATTGATTGATTGATTGTAAATGAGGTGATATTCCTCGTGAATAGGTGAGTTATGAGGGATAAGCAGTTTTAATCGTCCCTCATTAATGAAACATGAGGGATGATTAAGACTAATCGTCCATCAATCTATTCACGAATGAGGGATGTTAGTTGATAATAAACGTCCCTCAAAAGACAATGGATTTCGAGAACATGATATTATAACACACGCAAACAATGTCCTTTCTAAGAAGACAACAGCTTAGCACGTTTCATTTCTTTATTATTCCTATTCACCAACATCTCCTTTTTTCTTTGCGGTTGTTTAAAAAAATTGAATAGTCCTTTTTGCTTTAAAGTGTATATCTTTATATTTTTTCCCCTTGATATACACTTTAAACACTATTTTGGAAGTTCGAGCAACAAGCTAAAACAATAGATGACAAATAGATGATAGATGAATAGATGAGTTATGGCTCCTTGGCCATAACTCCGGAACGAGACATGCTATGATAACAAAACGTCGTCGGTATGGCCCCATCGTACCCACTCTAATGGACCCGCTTCTCGTGGCCCCATGCACACGCATCTAGTGGCCCCTAGGGCATAACGCTTTAACAAGGCATGTTATAGTAACGAAAYTTGGTGGCATTGCTGAGATTTGTGCTGTCAAGACGTTTTACATTTTTGTTTTGATTAGCATTCAAAAATACACCTTTTGCTGTTCATTAACCGCAAAGGAATACAGTCAATTCAAAAAATGTTGTCGTCGACCAGCTCAAGCCTACGCGACTGGACCGAAAGGAACTCTGGGTAGCAATCATTCAGTAGCAATCTTTCCGTCCGTTCGTCCTGGCGTGTACACAACACAGGAATCCCGCTTGAAATCAAAGCAAAACTACTCACAAATGCGTCTCTCAAATGTACAGAAAAAATCGCTTTA